ACTAATTTCACTCAGCATGATTTCCTCAAGGTTCATCGATGTTATGTGGTGGTTTACCGCTTCCTTGTTATTCTTCAATGTAGCATAATATTCCATTGTGTGTATGCACCACAATTTGTTTGTCCATTCTTCAGTTGATGGGCACTTTGGCTGTCTCCACCTTTTTGCTATTATAAATAGTGCTGCTATAAACATTGGTGTGCATATGTCTTCTGCTGCTATAAACATTGGTGTGCATATATCTTTTTCTTTTGGGTAAATACCAAGTAGAGGGATTGCTGGATCATAAGGTATTTCTATTTTCATCCTTCTGAGGAAATGCCATATTGTTTTCCAGAGAGGCTGGACCATTTTGCATTCCCACCAGCAATGCAAGAGTGTCCCCGTTTCTCCGCATCCCCGCCAGCATTTATTGTCTCCTCCATTTTTCATCTTTGCTGTTATTGTTGGTGTGAGATGGTATCTCATTGTTGTTTTGATTTGCATCTCTCTAATAGCTAGTGATCATGAGCATTTCTTCATATGTTTGTTGGCTGCCCATAACTTTTTACAAAGTTTCTGGGTGGTGGAAATTGTCTCACACCTAGAAGATACTCAGCAAATGGCAACTGCTGTTTGCATGATTATCATGAGTGGTGGTAGCAATCAGGGCATGTTCAATTTCGGTGCCTTCTCTGGATCAGAACGATGAAAAACGTATGAGGTGCATTGACAGTTCCACAGGCCGTTCTCTACTCTTCTGCCAGATGTATCTTCTGGTAATGACAAGTGCACATTTAAATATGCTTTATAAAATTACCCCTTCGTTTCTTCCTTTAGTCTCTCCCTTTGAGTCTCTCCCTAATCACTATTAAGGAGCGCTGGTAGAGTATAGGTCACGAGCTGTGCTCAAGGTCAACAGTTCAAAACTACCAGCTGAACAGGAGAAAGATGAGGCTTTCTGCTCCCGTAAAGATTTATAGCCTCAGAAACCCTATGTAGGATCACTATGAGTTAGAACTGACTCCACAGCATACCACCACCAATCACTATTAAGTTTCACTATTGTGCTTTATCAGTATCATGCACTATTATAAATACACTTACTAATGTACTTTATTAAGATAATAACTGATAGAGCAAAATTCATAAGCACTTATATTTTGCTACTTAGCATATATTCAGCTCACTGAGGGTAAGGAATAAAATGAGAATGAACATTTCCCCTAGTGTAATTTTGCAAAACTAATGTTTACTTCTGATGCTTCATTTAATAAGAAATTTTCATCATCTCTACGGTGAGGTCCTTTTTTATTAATAATTATTGAATGAAATTGAATCACTTTCAGCAAACATGAAAGTAATTCAGGCCCATGCAATAAATGTCATGATTTTTATATTACACTTATAAATGTGTACCTTGTATTAGACACTAAAACAGCAAGGGAAATGAAATACAATTTTTAATCATCTATCAAACATGTACTGAGAGGCTCCTTTGCACCAAGGAATTATGAAAATATTGGTGATGCTGAGGTAATACAACATGGACTCTATTCCCTAGGATCTGACAGTTGAAAGTGGCACCAAGGCCAACAAAAATGGATTCATTGCGGAGTCAAAAATTTTATCATGCAATCAAGTGTTCAATAGTTTTGCATACACCATAAGTCAATAGGAACGGACTACAGCAGAAGTTGACAAGGCCTATGTTTGAAAGGAAAGGAGTGCTTGAGAAAGCTGGAGCTCATTTGGACCTTAAAGGATAGGGAAGACTTGAATAGACGAGACTGGCTAAGTCTGCTAAGTCTGTTCTGACTCATAGGGTTTCCAAGGAGTGGCTGGTAAGTTTGAACTGCCAACCTTATGGTTAGCTAGCCAGTGCTTATTGTACAATGCAACACTAAGATATATGTATTGTTGTTGTTAAGTACCATTGAGTTGGAAGCGACTCACAGAGACCCTGCATAGGGTTTTCAAGGAGTGGCTGGTGAGCTTTAACAGCCAACTTTGCAGTTCAAATTGACCTTTTGATCCAGTGCTTATCCACACCAGTACTCCATAAACTTGTGTACACACACACACACACACACAGAGAGAGAGAGAGAGAGAGAGAGAGAGAGAGAGAGAGAGAGAGAGGCTTCTGATGTGGTATTGTAGGGTTAGTACTAATCTGAGAGCCACGAGGTCGGAAGTTCACACCCACCAGCTGCTCCTTGGAAACCCTTAACAGCAATATATATTTGTTGTTTAGTGCTGTCGAGCCAGTTCCAATTCATAGTGACCCTATATAGGGTTTCCAAGGGACAGCTGGTGACTTTGAACTGCCAACCTTTTGGTTCAAACTGACTTTGCAGTCCAGTGTATTAACCCACAGCGCCACACCAGGACTTCATATACATATGTATGTTGTTGTTAAGTGCCACCAGGTTGATTCCAATCCATAGCAACCCTATACAGGGTTTCCATGTGTTTCAAACCAACTTTGCAGTGGAGAGAAAATGAGCAAGAGCCTTATGGTGAGTTGATACAATAGTAAGAAATTGGACCATCTGCAAGAATGTTGGTTAGAAATGGGGAATAAAGTTGGAAGTGTAGGCAGAAGTTCAATTACAAGCACACAGGTGTCAGGCAAATGGGATTGAACTTAGTGATCACCTGAAGGTCTTTGATGAGGAAGGCCACATGACAATTGCTGACTGGTGTGGCTCTATACTTTAGTTTACATGTCCATATCAGTCTCCTTGTAAACTTTTGCTTGCCTAAGTCTTTGTTCTGTGTCCATGTCACAATCAAAATTTGCTTTCTTTTTAGGGGAAGCACTGGTTCATCAGATCTCAATGACCAAGAAGCTGGTCCTGGACCCTCGAAGGGCAGCCGAAGCGATTGCATTACCCCAGTCAGTCAAAGGTCACCAGTCCCAAGCACACGCAGTGTAACCTCAGTCAGCAGTAGAGTAAGTGCACTAACATGAGAAGACTACCAACATCTGGAACTCGATCTCACAACCATGACATGACTGGGTTTGAACAATTTTATTGGAGAAGTTTGTTTTTCCAGACTGAACCTCCCTTGGCCTTAGCTCTTCACAGAAAATTCAAAGCCAAGAGCAAAGGACAGGACCAGGCTCAAAGGTGGCATTTGTATGGTCAAGGTTTAAATGGCCGTATGTTTTAAATAGAGTCTGGGTGTGGTACTGTAGGATAAGCACTAGACCTTAAGGTCGGCTTGAACCGCGAGGTTAGCCATTCACCATCTGCTCCTCAGAAATCCTATACAGGGTTGCTATGAGTCAGAATTGACTCACTGGCACTAAATGTTGTTAAGTGCTGTCAAGTCAGTTCCAACTCATAGCGACCCTGTATAGGGTTTCCGAGGTGTGGCTGGTGAACTTGAACCACCTACCTTGTGGTTCAAACCGACCTTGCAGTCCAGCGCATTAACCCACAGTGTCACACCAGGACTCCCACTAAATAGCAACATTTTTATAAGGTGCACCTGACCCAATCCATGGGATCTTCAATTGCTTCTTATGTATGTGGACAATGAATAAGGAAGACAATAGAAGAATCAATGCATTTGAATTATGGTGTTGACAAATAATATTCTAAGTGCCATGGACTGCCAGAAGAGGCAAAAAATCGGTCTTGGAAGAAGTACAACCAGAATTCTCCTTAGAAGCCAGGATGGCGAGACTTCATCTCTCATACTCCGTACATGTTGACAGGAAGGATCATTTTGATAGAATGTCAGCGAAAAACAGGAAGACCTCCAATGAGATGGATTGACACGTAGCGACAACAGGCTCAAACATAACGATTCTGAGGATGGTGCAGAACCAGGCAGTGTTTCGCTCTGTTGTGCATAGGGTTGCTATAAGCTGGAACCTACTCAACAGCATCTAACAGCAGCAACAACAACATTGCTTCTTAGAACAGATATCCACAAGTTAGCTGCATTAAGTTTTCCCAAACTAATTTAAATAGGAAAAAACAGAACCTTGAAATCTTTTTATAGTTTCACTTTTCATGTTGTTGTTGAGGCTGACTCATAGCAACCATGTGTACAACAGAACAAAACACTTCCTGGTTCTGTGATAGTTAAAAGCAGTCAGTTTAAGGACTAACATACGCCTGACTCAAGTCATGGTGTTTTCAATAGTCTCATATGCATGTGAAAGTTGGGCAGTGAATAAGAAAGACTGTAGAAAAATTGATACATTTAAGTTATGATGTTGGAGAAGAATATTGAAAGCGCCATGGGATAAACAAATCTGTGTTGGAAGACGTACAACTAGAATATTCCTTAGCAGCCATGATGGGTAGACTTCGCCTCTCATTCTTCAGACATATTGTCATGAGGGACACTATGCTTGGTAAAATGGAGGATCAGCAAAAATGAGAAAGGCCCCCAATGAGATGAATTAGTACAGTGGCAGCAGCTATGGGCTTCGGGATAACAATTGTGAGGATGGTACACAATCGGGAATGTTTCATTCTGTTGTGCATAGTGTCAGTATGAGTAGGAACCGACTCAATGGCACCTAATAACAACAACAAGGTTAAGAGGAATATGAGTAGCTCCAGAAAGACTTTTTATCAGGGTAGTCATGGCACGTTCCAATGAGAAGAAGACATTTGAGCAAAGATTAGAAGGATGTGATGAAATTCGCCATGCAAGTGTCTGAGGGAAGTTGTACATCCAGGGAGGGAATCAATGATATATAGCAGGTACACATAGGAAGGCTATCCTACTGACTTCTAGCTGGCCTCCATTATTGTCCTTGCACAACCAGTGTGCTACAGGATAATGCACTGAATCGCAAGGTTGGTGGTTCAAATCCACCAGCTGCTCCTTGGAAACCCTATTACAGGGTCACTATGAGCCAGAACTGACTCAACGGCACTTAATAACAACAACCAAGGGGGAAAGCCAGTGCAAAATCCCTGAGATGGGAATGTGCCTGGTGCATTCAGGGGAGAGCAAGGAGGCCCATGTTTCTATTATTAGTGAACAAAAAGTGAAGTAGTAGTAAATGAGTTCAGAGAGCTAAAGGGCTAGATGTGGCCTTGTGAAGCACTGTGTGACTTGTTGCTTTTACTTGGAATAAGATAGGGTGAGGGTAGTTGGAGTATTTTGAACAAAAGAGTGACATGATCTGCCATCTGTTTAAGTAGAATCTGGAAACTGTGCTAAGAAGCAGCAGTAGGAGAACAAGGATGGACCCCAGAAGACCAGTTAAGAGGCCCTGGCAATACTCAAGAGTATTGGAGCGAGAGAAACAGGGACATAGCAGTGGAGGTGGAGCAATCAGATCGTGTGTATATATTGAAGGAGCAATCAAAAGGCATTCAGACATTTAAATAATAATTATAATCATTTTATTTAAGCATGTATAGCCTAAATTGTGCTCACTGCTTAGATAAAAGCACATTTAAAATGCCTTAAATATTTATGCTAAACGCAACAAGCAGCTTCTGTTCAATAGCGCACAAAGCACATGGAGAGTTGATGATCACACTCACTTCTTTGGCAACGTTGCAATGAATGCTATTCAATGTTTTTAGCAGCTGGCATGGCTGAGGTACTGAACAATCAGAGAAGACATTAGCACAGGGCTGGTGAAGCATCCTGGAGGCCCTGCCAAGCTGTGAATTTGCTCAGAATGGGGGAAGAGCTAGGGTTGTGGAGGAGGGGGTCGTACAGGGGCAGGGGTGGGTGGACTGGAAGTAATGCTGTTTACTAACTGATTCAGAACTTAAAACTTTTTAACTTAAAAAAGTTGTTAAACTTTAAAAACTCATGCAGCTGTATATACCACTGGGTTGCGGTTAACTAACTAGTCAATTAATTGAGTTTGTTTTTGAAAGGAGGATTATATTCCCAAGTACCATTGGAGATGGTAAAGTGGGGAGATCACCCTTGTCAGATGCTAATAGCCTTACACCTAACAGCCTCTCTATGCTTATTTCTTTATTAAAAAACACCTGAATTTTCCCCAACAGAAGCTCACTGCAATTGGGTATATGGCCCCAAGTCAACTGGGACTCACAGTAACCCCATAGGAAAGAGTTGAATTGCCCTATACAGTTTCCAAGTCTGTAATCTTTAAAGAAGCAGATTGCCACATCTTCCTACTGCAAGATCAGCTGGTAGATTTGAACTTCCAAGTTTTCAGTTAGCAGCCCACTGTGCTATGAGGACTGCTGAGTCAGTTTCTATGTTGATCTATCTCACTCTTTCATTTTCAGTTCTCCATTGAGTGAGAGAAAAAAGAGAACAGGAAAAATTATTTTGTGTTAAATAAACATGAGATGTCATAGTAGTTTATGGTGCACATTTGCTCTTTCATGATGAAAGGAAGGGTAGAGAGATGATAATCAAGAAAACAGTTTCAAAATTTCCCATTTCTCAGATTCTCATTGCTTCCATGTTCTTTTTTTTTGTTTATGTTATTGATAAGTGCAGTAGTGTCTGTTCTGACTCAGTCTAGGGTTTACGAGGAGCAGCTGGTGAGTTTGAACCTCTGATCTTGCAGTTCAAACTGACTGCAATTCAGTGCCGCACCTGCAGCACCACACCAAGCCTCCAAACATTAATAGTCTATGTCAATTAGAGGAGTTGGTAACTCTGTTACATGTATTATGTGTTAAAGAATAATCAAAGACTAAAAATAATGTGTATTGAAGCTAAGTTGATCAGCCTGTCAGGCAATGAAAGCCACATCTCTTTGGAGTGAATTCATCAAAATCTTCTTAATTGTCTAATAAGAAGACTAGAGATAGGGCAACAAAAAGGGACTTATGAAATGACGTTGAAAGGCACTATTTGATTATTTACCAAAGAAGAAATTCCAATCTCTTTTTAGATTAGATTATTATCATAATCTTTACATCATTTGTCACAGCATGTAGGGAATACATTTTTTAAATGAAAAATGGAAACATGAGAGTCTTGAACTTGTCCTCTGCTATGATGTACACTGATAGTTTTGGGGTTGACATTTTGACCCTCCATGGTACATACTGCATTTTAATGTCTGTACAATATTCATTGACTCATTGTACTCAATATTAATGATATTCCCAGGACTCCTGATGAAAAATGTCTCTTGACATAACTGACACTAAGGAACTTGGTCTTGATTCAGTGGAGGGTTCTGTGTGGTTAACAACTTTGTGAAAAGAAGATCTGGACAACTGACCTAAATGAATTTATCCATTTTACCTCTGCCATTGGCCCAGGATCGGGCAATGTTTCATTCTGTTGTGCATAGGGTCTCTGTGAGTCGGTACTGACTCGATGGCACCTAACAACAACAAACCTCTGTCATGATGTGGTGCTGTCGGATCAGCACTGTGCTGCTAACTACCAGGTCTGGTGTTCAAACCCACCAGCAGTTCCTCAGATCCACCATGTAGAGGGTTTAAGAGGAGCAGCTTATGGGTTAGAACCTCCAACCTTGTGGTTTAAACCAACCTTACAGTTCAGTACTGCTCCTACAGCACCACACCAGGCTTCCAAACACTGATGTTGTTGTTAAGTGTCGTAGAGTCAATTCCAACCCATAGCGACCCTGTATAGGGTTTTCAAGGAGCAGCTGGTGAGCTTGAACCACCGACCTTGCAATTCAAACAACTTTGTAGTCTGACGCATTAGGCCATAGTGCCACAGTTAGTCTATGTCAATTAAAGGAATTGGTAGCTTTGTACTTTCTGTTATATGTATTATGTGTTGAAAATTAATCAAAGACTGAAAATAGAGTATGTTGAAGCTAAGTTGATCAACCTTTTAGGCAAGTGAAAGTCACATCTCTTTGGAGTGCGTTCATCAAAATCTCCCTAAATGTCTAATATGAAGACTAGATATAGGGCAACAAGAAAGGAATTCCTTCCTGTATGAGGTTGAATGAAAGGCACTATTTGATTATTTTCCAAAGAAGAAATTCAAGTCTTTTTTAGATTTGATTATTGTCATAATCTTACATCATTTGTATAGACTTTTAACCTCAACCCACTTTTCAAAAGGTCCAAAATTAATAATCAAATAGTGCCTTTCAACCTCATACAGGAAGGAATTCCTTTCTTGTTGCCCTATATCTAGTCTTCTTATTAGACAATTAAGAAGATTTTGATGAACTCACTCCAAAGAGACGTGGCTTTCACTTGCCTGACAGGCTGATCAACTTAGCTTCAATATACAACTTTTCAGGTGCCGATAGAGTCTTGGCTGCTGTAATAGCCCAAACCCGTGAGGTTGGGATATTGTAATCAGTGTCATTTATAATAAAAGGGGGCTTCAAAAGTTTGTGGGGAAATCTCATTATCTTTTCATTCCATTTTTCCATGAACTTTTTGAATCCACCTTTTATGCTACAATAAAAGCATGTCTTAGACAGAATTCTGTCACATGTAGAAACAGTTTTCAGCAAGCACCAAAACCAAAAAAAAAATCCCCTATTCCTGTAAATTGATGAACTCCCTACTGTTCATCATTTTATAAACTTTGGTAAGTCTCTAAAGATAACTTTATTCCAAAATAACGTACCCAACCATATTTTGATCAATCAGTCATCTAGATGGAAGCAATGGGGGAAGACATGAGATTCCTTCAATTCATAATTGCAGTTGTTAAGTGTCATCAAGTCTGTTATGAGTGATAGCGACCCTGTATAAGGTTTCCAAGGAGCGGCTGGTGGGTTACCTTTGGTTAGCTGTCCAGTACTTAACTTATAGCACCACACCAGGTCTCCTCAACTCATAATTTTTTCCTCCTAAAGTAGAAATCCTGGTGTGGTACTGTAGGATAAATCACTGGACCGCAAGGTCAGTTTGAACTACAAGGTTGGTTTTTCAAACTCACCTGTAGCTTCCTCAGAAACCCTTGGCAGGGTCTGTATGATACGGAATTGACTCCATGACACTTAACAACAACAACAAAGTAGGCACTGGACTGCTAAGCTCAAGATCAGCTGTTAACACTGACCAGCCAATCTTGGAAACCCTGTGCAGGTCACTGTAAGTTGTAACTAACTTGATGGCACACGACAACATTAAAGCTATACACACAAATGCAAATTTGTACATTGTAAATATACTGAAGTATATGGTAGTATTTTAAGCAATTCACAGTCACCAGCCCCTCCTCAGAAACACTATACAGGGTTGTTATAAGTTGGAACTGAGTAGATGGCACTTAACAACAGCAATCATGTGGTTTTTGTTTTGTTTTTTCATTTTTACTTTGTGGATAGGAGCACGGTTTTAATAATTTCATGAGTTTGGCTGCCACTGAAAACACCTCTGAAGATTTCACAAAGCGCCATCACAGAAACACTTCAGGCACGCCTTCCATAGCTATATCTGGGACCTCCCTCTCCTCAGGTAGGTATTTACAAAATATCCACTCGACTGTTAAAACTTACTGTATCAGGTGGAATTGACTGCCTGATACCCATTTCATGACTTAGAAAATAATCATCTCTTCTTTAACCCACAGTGGTTAGTCTATTCTATGATAATGGCTTGATGGTAGACTTGGATGATGGCGTAGGCTTTTTGGATTCAAGCAAAATCTATTTAAGTGAATATATATTCTTGCCAGGCCTCATTCCCAAGTTTCAGACTATACCAGAGTGTCAACAAAGTAGGATAAGAAATGTATCTGCCCGCTAAACTGCAAGGTCAGTTTCAACCACAAAGTCATTTCAACCACAAAGTCGTCCGTTCAAACCCATCAGCTGCTTCTCAGAAACCCAATACAAGGTCGCTATGAGTCGGAACCTACTTGATGGCACTTAACAACAGCAGAATTCATTTGGACTCCTGGTGGTGCTGTAGAATATGCACTGGACTGCGAACTGCAAGGTCAACAGTTCAAATCCATCATCTGCTCCTTGGAAACCTTATATAGGTTCACCATGAGTTGGAACAGACTTAACAACAGTACGGTACCTAACAACAGCAACAGGATACATTTAACAGTAGTAGTGGGTTGCAATGAGGTGGAACTGACTTGATGGCACTTAACAACAAGAAGGGGTACTTTCATAGAGTTCAAAGAAATGGTAACTCAGGTTATGTTGGTTGGTTGTTATGTGCCATGGAGTTGGTTCAGACTCATAGCGACCCTGCAGAATGTTTCTGAGGCTGTAAATCTTTACTGGAGTGGAAAGCCTCATCTTTCTCTCACAGAACAGCTGGTAGTTTCAAACCGCTGATGGTGAGATTATCAGGCCGGTTCATAACCACTGCGCTACCAGGGCTCCTTAGATCAAGTGATATGGTAGGCAACTTTCCCAATATTGAGGCAGATACATCATTCCAAGTTATAAATATGGAGTAATTTGCAAGCAGAATTAATGTACCAGCAGTCATTCTTTTCATTGTGTTGTACACTGAATGAAATATAGCATTTCACTGAATAAGGAAGCTCTTTAGAGAAACGTGTCATAATTATAACGTTTATGTCCCATGTATAGAATCAAAATATGATGAGATCCTCAACATGAAAAACTTACTGTTACCTAATGATATTTGCAGAAAGCCTAAGGCTGAGTTCTGTTGCTGAGTTGGGGCATCTCTCCTAGTCAGCCACTTCCCAAAGGGTTTTCTAAATGTGCATGGTGATTGATGCATTTCTTTTCAGGAATGGTAAAACAGATCAGCTGTTAAATGAAAAATTAAAAACTAGTCTAGAAACCATCATCATAGGCCCCATATCTATTCTTTGTTGTTGTTGTTGTTAAGTGCCATCGAGTCAGTTCTGACCCATAGCGACCCTGTAGAGGGTTTTCGAGGAGCAGCTGGTGAGCTTGAACTACCAACCTTGCAGTTCAAATGGCTTTGCAGTCTGGCGCATTAACCCACAGCCCCACACCAGGACTCTATCCCTTAGTTCCTGGTTATTGAGTGCATTCTCAGTGTCATATGGAGTCCTGGTAATGGTGCTGCGGGTAAATGTGCTGGACTACAAAGTTGATTTGAACTGCAAGTTCGGCAGTTCAAACTCACCAATCACTCCTCAGAAATCCTATATGGGGTTGCTGTGAGTCAGAACTTATTCGACAACAATTAACACCAAACAACAACTCAGTGTGAGGCACTAGACACTTCTGCATTATCACATTTACATTTCAAACTTAAGTTCTGAATTCAGAGATGATGGTTTTACCAGCTCTCTTTAATCTTGCTCATTTATAGGCAGCTGTGTATCCATCTCAGCAGGGCACTGATAAAAAAACTATTCTGTGGAAGTCAACTGCCCATGACTTGGTAAACTATCCACAGCATTATTGAGGAGTGCATTTTTCTTTAACTTACATTTTTGAAACATAAAGCAATATATTATTCTTCTGACAGAATTTTTCTATTTCCATAAGAAATAGAATTTCCTCTTAATTTAGCTATATCCACTCTTTTCTTTTAAAGTGAAACAAACTTGTTCTGTCATTTATAAAGCAACAATTTAGAATCAATTGACTCAAAATGTTACATCAAATATAAAAAAGTGAATTCTATAGCTATTAAAATCAGTAAAAGTTAATGTTTTTGCTTTTTTTTTTTTCAAGTTCAAAGGCCCCATCCTATGAGAAGTTTTCAATGCCATAAGTTAAGAAGAAACCATAAACAGTTTAAAACTTGACATTTTATAGTAGAACATTTAAACTCCTGTGATCAAAGGAGGACTGAATGTGTGTTGGTAATTCAATCTAAGGCAATTTCCAAAATACCATTAAAAATGGACAGTTTGTTAACATAAACAGCATGAAGTTACTGACTCTGACCTTTGCTTCCATAGCATTATCTATGCACTATGCTTAGAAGTCTTGGTGTGGCACTGTGGGTTAATGCGCCAGACTGCAAAGCCATTTGAGCTGCAAGGTTGGTAGTTCAAGCTCACCAGTCACTCCTCAGAAACCCTATACAGGGTTGCTATGAGTCGGAACCGACTTGATGGCACTTAACAACAACAACAATGCGTAGAAGAACTGCAATAAAAATGAAACATTTGCATGGAAAAATAAGAGCTTCTAACAAAATAAGCTGATTCACATCTCTCCTTTTCTCTTCCTTCCTCCAGACCGGAGTAGATCTGAGTTAGATTTGAGTGGGTCATTTTCAGCAGATGAAGATGATACTGTAAGCATAAAAAGCAAGTCCGTCCCAGGGGCTTTAGACAAAGACTTGGTAAGTTGGAAAGACAGTCTCATGATCATAAGGAAACAGGAGCATGCTTTTGCTCCAAGATGTTATACATTTAGGTGATGATGAATTGCGAGTAAAGTGAAGATATATAACAATGTCCACTGTTAGTCTTCACTGTCAGTGTGCTAAGGCAATTGAAATAACCATTCAACAGGTACTGAGCTAAAAGTAAAAGGTAATCAGGTCAATGATGTGAGCATTATTTCGAAGAAAACACCCAGTGGAGTTTTCAATAACTAAACCTGGGAAATAAAGGATCCCAGTATTTCTTAAGCTGATTGTACTAATCTGATGACATATTTTACTTGAATACTTCTATATCTCAAGTTGCCTCCAAAAACTGCCTTCTTATCTAAAAATTAAATTCTGTGAAATTAAGTTTCAGTTAACTTACTTGTAAAATGAGGTTGAATTTTGTTATTGTTAAGATTTCTCTTAGATGTAATATTTGAATATTCTTGATTTCTATAATAGCTAAACAGAAATTCCATCACTCGTCTGTCAGTTTGTCATCCTGTGGTGGCTTATGAGTTGCTGTGATTCTGGAAGCTATGCCATCAATATTTTAAATACAAGCAGGTTCATTCATGGTGAACAGGTTTCAGATGAGCTTCCAGAAAAGACAGATAGGAAGAAGGAGTGACGAACTACTTTCAAATATTTGGACACTGAAAACATCATTGTCAGATACAGTGCCAGAGAATGAGCCCCTCAGGTTGGGAGGCACTCAAAATATGACTGGGGAAGAGCTGCCTCCTCAAAGTGAGTTGACTGTCATGACGCAAATGGAGTAAAGCCTGTAGGAGTAAAGCCTGCAGGCCCTATATTTGCTGATGGGGCACTACTCAAAATGAAGAGAAACAGCTGTAAACATCCATTGAAAATCGGAACATGGACTGTACAAAGTATGAATCTAAGAAAATTGGAAATTGTCAGAAATGAAATGGAATGCATAAACATCGATATCTTAGGCATTAGTGAGCTGAAATGGACTGGTATTGGCCATTTTGAATCTGATGACCACATGGTTTACCATGCCGGGAATGACAAATTGAAGAGAAATGGTGTTGCATTCATTGTCAAAAAGGACATATCCAGATCAGTCATGAGGTACAATGCTGTCTGTGATAGGATAATATCCGTGCACCTACATGGAAGCCCAGTTAATACCACTATTATTCAAATTTACACACCAACCACTAAAGTCAGTGAGGATAAAATAGAAGAATTCTACCAATTTCTTCAATCTGAAATTGATCAAACATGCAATCAAAATGTATGGATCATTACTGGTGATTGTAATGTAACAGTTGGGAACAAAAAGGAAGGATCAGCAGTTGGAAAATATGGCCTTGGTGAAAGAAATGATGCTGGAGATCGCATGATAGAATTCTGCAAAATCAATAATTTGTTCATTTCAAATACCTTCTTTAGGCAGCATTAGAGATCATTACACACATGGACCTCACCAGATGGAATACATAGAAATCAAATTGACTACATCTGTGGAAAGAAAAGATGGAAAAGCTCTATATCATCAGTCAAAACAAGGCCAGAGGCAGATTGTGGAACAGGCCATCAATTGCTCATATGCAAATTCAAACTGCATATGAAGAAAATGAAAACAAGTCCACGGGAGACAAAATATGACCTTGAATATATCCCACCTGAATTTAGAGATCATCTGAAGAACAGATTTGATACATTAAACACTAAAGACCGAAGACCAGAAGAGTTGTGGGATGACATCAAGAATACCATGCAGGAAGAAAGCAAAAAGTCATTAAGAAGACAAGAAAGAAGGAAAAGGTCAAAATGGATATCAGAAGAGACACTGAAACTTGCTGTCCAGCATAGAGATGCTAAAGCAAATGGAAGAAATGAGGAGACCAAAGCTGAACAGAAAATTTCAAATGTCAGCGAGAAAACAAAGTCAAATATTACAACAAAATGTGCAAAGATCTGGAGTCAGAAAACCAAAAAGGAAGAACATGCTCAGCATTTCTCAAGCTGGGGGAACTGAAGAAAAAATTCAAGCCTTGACTTTGGTTATTGAAAGATTCTCTGGGCAAATTACTGAATGATGCAGAAAGCATCAAGAGAAGATGGAAGGAATACACAGAATCACTGTACCAAAGGAAATGGTTAAGGTTCAATAATTTCAAGAGGTAGCATACAATCAAGAGCCAATGATACTGAAGGAAGAAATCCAAGGTGCATTGAAGGAATTGACAAAGAACAAGGCACCAGGAATTGATGGAATAAAAAGTAAAATCTTTCAAGAAAGTTAGGTAGCACTGGAGGCACTCACTCATCTATGCCAAGAAATTTGGAAGTTCAACTATCTGGCCAACTGATTGGAAGAGATCTGTATTTGTGCCCATTCCAAAGAGACGTGACCCAACAGAATGCGGAAATTATCGGGCAATATATTTGATATCCCATGCAAGTAAAGTTTTACTAAAAGTAATCCAGAAATGGCTGCAAGCATACATTGACAGACAACTTACAGAGGTTCAAGCTGGATTCAGAAGAGGATGTGGAATGAGGGATATCATTGCTGTTGTCCGATGGATCTTGGCTGAAAGCAGAGAATACCAGAAAGATGTTTACCTGTGCTTTATTGACTACGCTAAGGATTTTGATTGTGTGGATCATGACAAGCTATGGACAACATTGAGAAATATGAGTATTCCTGAACACTTAATTGTGCTCATGAGGAATTTGTACATGGACCTAGAGGCAGTTGTTTGAACAGAACACGGGAACACTGAATGGTTTACAATTAAGAGAGGTGTGCATTGGGGTTGTATTCTTTCATCATACATATTTAATCTGTATGCTGAGCAAATAATCGGAGAAGCTGGGTTATATGAAGAAAAATGACCTTCAATATGCAGATGATGCAACTTTGCTTGCTGAAAGTGAAGAGGACTTAAAATATTTACTAATGAAGATCAAAGAGCACAGCCTTCGGTGTGGATTGCATCTCAATGTCAAGAAAACAAAAATCCTCACCACTGGACCAATAAACAACATTCTCATCAACGGAGAAAAGACTGAAGTTGTCAAGGATTTCATTCTTCTTGGATCAACCATCAGCACTCATGGAAGCAGCAGTCAAGAAATTAAAAAACATTAGGCAAATCTGCTGTGCAAGACCTTTTTAAAGTGTTCAAGAGCAAAGATGTCTGCTTGAGGACCAAGGTGTGCCTGACCCAAGCCATGGTATTTGCAGTAATCCCATATGCATGCAAAAGCTAGACAGTGAATAAGGAGGACCATAGAAGAATTAATGATTTTAATTTATGGTGTTGGAGGAGAATACTGAAAGTGCCATGGGCTGCCAAAAGAACCAACAGATCTGTGTTGGAAGAAAAGCAGCCAGAGTGCTCCTTGGAGGCCAGGATGGCCAAACTTCATCTCTCATACTTCAGACATATTGTCAGGATGGACCAGTCTCTGGAGAAGGATATCATGATTGGCAATGTGGAGGGTCAAAGAAAAAGAGGAAAACTCCCAGTGAGATGGATTGGCAAAGCGGCAGCATCAATGGGCTCAAGCGTGGTAACAATTATGAGGTTGGCCCAGGACCGGGCAGTGATTTGTTTTGTTGAACATAAGGTCACTATGAGTCGGTACCGACTCGATGGCACCTAACAACAACAACAACATACAGAAATGCAAACTCCTTGGAATAAAGGCAGAACCCACATGTGAAGTGGTATTAATACGGCTTTTCCTAAGGAAGGCAGGAAAAATTGAGTTCTAAAATTCAATATTATTTATTACAGTATTAAAGACTAGGAAAGTAATTTAAAATCCACTACACACACAACAAACAAACAAACAAAAACACACAGGCAACATTGGTGGGAATAAAAAATCAGGTACAGTCGCTTTGAAAAAAAAGTTTGCCAATTTCTTAAAAAGTCAAAAATAAACTCACTTAATTGTTATCATGACTAATTGCAACTGTCACAACTGTAAAGGTAGAAGTTTGGTAACAAAAAGGGTGGAGTGGTTAATCTTACAGTCCAGGAACAGAGGACCCTAGGACCATCAAGGGAGCAGATCATAAGTGGAATGTGGGACCCTATCCAGAGAAACAATGACACCAGAGACAGAGGCAGAGATGAGGACATGAAGAGATAGAGCAGCTGAGGACTCTAGATTCATGGAAAGAGAAAGGCTGTGTGCTGGCGGCCAGGAGGCAGACTTGCAGAATGTGCCCTTGGGTTGTTTAAATGATTATATATTCCTGAGTGTTTTTGTGTACATCCCCTTAACCCTCACCTTCTCTAATCACCACCACCCCCCAAAAAAAGAGGGAATAGAAGCAAATACTGTTGAATGAGGATGCATGGAGGATATTGTAATCATTGCAATGAAATGATGAGTGTAAAACCGATGTTCTCCCATGTAAACTATCACTCAATTCACAATAAAAACTTAAAAAAAAATAAAACAAACTCACTGTTGTTGTTGTTTTGAAGTGCCGTTGAGTCTGTTCCAACCCATAGGGTCTCCAAGGAGAAGCTAGTGAGCTTGAACCACTGACCTTGAAGTTCCAACGGCTTTGCAGTCTAACCCACAGTGCCACACCAGGACTCCAAACTCACTGTGGTGGTGATTATGTGCCGTGGAGTCAGTTCTGACTCATAGCGACCCTGTACAGGGTTTCCGAGGTTGTAAATCTTTACGGGAGCAGAAAACCTCATCTTTCTCCCATGGAACAGCTGATAGTTTTGAACTGCTGACCTTAAGGTTTGCAGTCCTATTCGTAACCACTATGCTACCAGAGCTCCTTAACCTCACTGTAGGACACAACAATTTTACTCCTAGATCTCTACCCATCAGAAATGAAAACATTTATCCACATAGATATATGCTTAAATGTCCATATGTGTATGAATGTTCATAGCAGGATTTTTCATAATAGCCTAAATGTGGAAACTCTCTGGATGTCCATCAATTGATGATTAACTAGATAAAATGTATATTGTATTCCACAACATCATTCATTAAAGAGATGGAAAAACTAGTCAACAACTTTATAGGGAACAAAAGCACTACTAAAGAAGAACAAAGTAAGAAACCTCACACTTCCTGCTCACAAAAGGCATGGAAGTTTAAACAGCCTGGTCCTGGTACAACAGATACAGACCAGTGGAACAGAATTGATACCTCAGAAGTTAATCCACCTATGGACAGTTTATAATTGACAAAGGGCCCAAATCCAACAAATGATGCTGGCCAAACTGGATATCCATTTGCAGGAAATAAATAAATAAGTAGGTAAATAAATAAATATCTCATTCCATATACAAAAAAGAATTCAAGATAGATTAAAGCCATAACTCTAAAACCTAGAACTAAAAAGATTATCAATGCATAAATAGGGACAAATTTAGAGGTCCCAAAGCATGGCATAAATACAATATTATTTATTGTGTTATAAACAATAATTATAAATATACAAACAACAATTATACACAGAATTATAAACACACAAACAGCAGAAGGCAAATAGATTACTGGGATCCCCTAAAATTAGACACATAGGTGCATAAAAAGATTTCACCAAAAGAGTAAATGAGAACCCACAGATTGGGGGTAAAAATCGCAATGACACATCTGACAAGGGATTAATCTCTACAATATACAGAAATCTTCAACATCTCAACAAGAAAAAGACAAACAGTCCAATTTAAAAATGGGCAGAGGACATGAACTTCACCAAAGATGACACTGAGGTGGCCAACACACACATGAAGAAATGCTTACGACTATAAGCCATTAGAGAGATGCAAATCAACACAATAATGAGCATTAATAGCAAAGTTAAAAACAAAACAAAACAACTGTTGATGAAAAGGTGGAAAAATTGGAACCCTCATACACTGCTGGTGGAAATGTAACAGGTACAATCACTGTGGAAAATGGTATGGCACTTTCTTAAAAAAATTGGAAATAGTAATACCATATAATCCTGCAATCCCTCTACTTGGTATACGTCCTGGAGAAATAAGAGCCACCACAAGAATAGATATATGCATACTCATGTTCATTGGAGCACTATTCAAAAAGCAAAAAAGATAGAAACAACCTAAATGCCCATCATGGAAGAATAAATAAACAAACTACTGTACATACACACAATGGAATACCGCTCAACGTATTCTTTAGAATAACAATGGATCATCACAGGACTTCATAACATTGGTGAACCTGGAGGACATTATGTTGAGTGAAATTAGTCAATCATGAAAGGACAAATATTGTATGAAACTACTATTGTAAAGAGTCCATAAATGTTTTCAACATTAAAAGAAACATCACCAGTGGTGGGAGTAAAAGATGGTGTAAATTACTGGCTACAGGGTAGACGTGTTAATTTGGGTGAAGGGAAAGGCAATATACAATAAGAGGGAAGTCAACATAAAATGAGGGAGGCAGGGAAAGAAAATGTGAAGAGTGCAAGAGTTAAAGTACTTTTATATGCATAACTCTGCAATAACAGTGATCTACAATTAGCTACATGGATAGACAAACAGGCTGAGCAGGGATGGGAGGGACAGTTGAATTATACCAATGAATATATGCGTGTATGTGTGTATATATATGTGTGTTTGTGTGGTGCTGTGGGCTAGTGCACTGGACTATAAAGTCATTTGAAACACAAGATCCGTGGTTCAACCTCACCAGCTCCTTGGAAACCCTGTATAGGGTCACTAGAAGTCAGAACCAACTTGACGGCACTTAACAACAACAACAACATATATAGGTTTGACGGAAGATATTTATGCATGTGTTTTACCTTTACTACAAATATATTCATGAATGTGGTGGAGTATACAGGGAACAAAGTTACAAAAAACTTCTTAGACATAGCCAAACACCCTCATGAGTAAGTCACTGGGCTTGGGGGCTCAGGACCATAGTCTCAGAGGACACCATGGTCAACTGGCATAACATAGTCCAACTAATAGCAACAGTCCACAAAGACAATGCTCTACATTCTATTTTGATGGGTAGCGACTGGAATTTTACAAGCTTGTGCACAGCCATTTAATGTGCAACTATTGGTCTCACCCTGTGTGGTGGAAAGAAGAATGAAGACAGATGGAAATAATTAGTCCAAATTAATGGACCAAACGAACATCAGTGTCGTAACTCTGAGGCCAGAAGACCAAGATGGTACCTGGCTACCTCTACCAACTTCTCTGAACGGGATCTCACATTAGAAGGTCCAGATTAAAGTAGGATAAAAATGTGGAATAAAACTCAAAAACATTACAAAGCCCAAGAATACTGGTCAAATAGATACAGATGGAATTTTGGTGACTATGGCCCTTAGTCATCCTGCTGAGTCAATGCAAACCTCTCACAAGCTCCTGTTATCTGGCCATGGTAATTGTTAGTAGCCATAGAATTAGGAAGTAATTTCTCTCTATGATCAAGCCAGGAGGTAAAGGTACTTCACTCTGTGGAATTTGTATTGAGCCCAAGAACTATTGCTTCATGGCAAGGATGAAATAAAGACAGTTGTTTGAAATTGGCTTGGAACCACCTTATTAAAAAATTTCCCATGCACCTTAAAGAGTCTTTGTTTAACAAGCTGTTCTGGTGAAATTAGGTCTTGGTACCAAGATGTTTTTCACAAATTCCTAAGACATCTGGTAACAATTGTTTAAACATCCACCAGTGGTGTTTTCTGATCCCACGTGAAAGATATGTGACAAGTTCCTGAAATCAATCACTGTAAGCCTCCTCAATAATCCAATAGAAACCAATTCTGTGATCTCACACAAAGACTAACTAATCCAATGACTATATTATAATTTCATTGTTCCCTGGACTATATCTGTCTTTGCTGGAATGTTTTTAAGTTGGTGTTATTAGTCCTCATTTACAAGAGCTGGTGTCTTCCTGCATTTGAACGTACTTTTTAATTTTCCCTGTACAAATCCTCTTATTCTCATTTTAAGGACTGAATAGGTTTCTTTTTTCCACTATAGGAATATAAATTTTCTTATAAACTGAGAAAAAGATACACAATGAATGTAATGTGCATTAAAGGATGCTAAACACTAGTTTTACCTAATGTGATAGGAGAGGACAGCAAAGAAGAAAGATGTCCATAATAAAAATAGTGTGTATTATGCAATCTATTTATCAATAAATGATTTAAATTTGGTCATTAATATGTTAATTGGGATCTAAGGAGTCTTCATGTAGCACTGCATAATAATGTGCTGAACCACTAGGTCAGATTGAACTGCAAGGTCAGCATTTCCAAACTCACCAGTCCCTCCTTGGAAACCCTGTACAGGGTCGCTATGAGTTGGAATCAACTCGATAGCACTTAACAAAAACAACAACAAAAAAATTTTAAATATGCTTATTTATGTTGCTTGAAGGAGGCCTAGTGGCACAGTGGGCTAAGTGTTCAGCTGCTAACCGAAAGGTTGATGGTTCAAACTCACTAGCTTCTCTGCAGGAGAAAGATGAGGCAGTCTGTTTCTGTGACGATCTTCATTCAGCCTCAGATATCGTCCTCTGCTCTAGAAGATCATTATGAGACAAAATTGACTTGACAGCTATGACATATGTTACTTGAAATTTTTTGCTGTAGAAAGTATCACTTAAATAATCAAGGGAAAAAAATAAGTTCTTTCTATCATGAGTGAGAAGACTGGGGAGAGAAAAAATAGAATAATGTGAATATTGGAGAGACTTTTGAGATATAGTGCCCTATCCTGACATACAGGTAGATATAAAGATAGATGCACACACATATATAAACCCCAAAATCAATTTAAAAATTGGAACTGGATAATAGTGATGGTTGCACAAAATAATGAACACAATTAATGCCAATGAACTGCACATGTGAAAAATATTGACATTGAAAATATTTTGTGATATTTTCAATGTCAATTGAAAAGCACATACACACAAAATATAGAAAAGAAATAACCAAAGTCAATCACCTTAGAGATAAAGGAAACAGAAATCAAACCCAGGAGTGTGGGTTTCAAATGTCATGCTTTTTCCATGAAACAAGAAGCATTGAAAAGGAGACTCAGCTCTCTCCTTCCTGTCCCTGCCCATTCTTCAGATTGACTGCAGGGGAAAGGGGAAAGGAATGGGGTGATTTCGAGACAGTTTTATCTGACTTTCAACTACTTAGGAAAGAAAGCCATTTTTAAGGGGAAATATTTTCTAAGAAAGAAGCAAACTACTGATTTTTCCTCCTTTCTTAGGATTCCCTGGAAGACACTGAAGGAGGCATTGATGACATAGTACCCTCCCGGTTTTCTGCCAACACCCACAGTCTAGCAAGTGGCCTGTCAACCGTAAGCAATTCTCTAGCACATGTTGGAAGTTCCTTTTTTCTCTTGTTGATTTTCTGTGCATTTCCAGAGGTCTGAATGCAGTTAGGAAAATGTGTAATGATGAATCCAAAGTTGTCACAGGCTCCAGTTCACCCTTTTTCTTAAAACACGTTTCAGTTTACTATTGTTTGGGCCTTTGCTAATGTTCCTGATTCCTTCCTTCTCTCTCCACCATCCTTTCCTAGGTTTAAAAATCTCTTAATTTCCTAGTCCAGGCCCTCATTAACGCAAGCCTCTGAACTATTTTCAATCTCCAATGACAAATCCCCCTGGCACCATCCTGCCAACTCCTCAATTGTCTCCCAAACAAAAAGGTCATCTTTTTAGTAAGCATATTCAATTAAGTTTCTCTCCTCAGACACCATCCATAGCTTCCCACTACCTACAGTACTAAGTACTAAGGTAGAACTCTTTATTATCAAGTGAAGACCTTTCCTTAAGAGGAATAACTTAGCTTTAATGCCCCTGTGTCCTTGCATCCATCTGTGTGCCTGTAAGTCTTTTTCTTTGCTTCTCTAATTTCTGTCTCTTGCTCTAATGCCCTCTTGTTTTTTGACATTTGGGCAACTTTCTTAAAGAATTCTCAAGCAGGCTCTGACAGGAAGTGGACCCACCTAAATGTACCTGATGCAGACTCAGACACTGTGAGTTTTCAAGCTTTTCTTCTTTCCTTCCAATCACATTTCATGAGTTTTGTGGTTTGGGAAATATGATTAGATGTACAATTCTTTCAGAATTTGGCCTTTTCTGATTTGTATACTATTAAGCAGAGGTTCTATTGTAAAAGATTAATGAAGCAAGTAAGTTCAATGAGTCAGAATTGACTAAGCAGCAACTAATAACATCAACAACACCCCTCTGTGTAGGAGTCCTGGATGGAGCAAATGGTTAAACACTTAATTATTAATGGGAAGGTTGGGTATTGGAGTCTATCCAGAGGTACCATAGAAGAAAGGCCTGACAATCTCTTTCCAAAAGGTCATGGCTTTGAAAATCGTATGGACTCTGATATATGATGTCACCATAAGCCAGAATCAAATGGCAATTGACTTTGGTGTTTTGGTTTCATCACATTATATGAACATATCATAACTTGATTACCCACTTAACCATTGATGGATATTTGACTGATTCTACTTTGGGACGGTTTTGAATAACAAAATTGTTCTGAAAAAGTTTGCACACAAAAAAGATTAATGAGATTGTCAGAATCCATGTATTGAAAGAAGAGTATTAGCACCTGTGCACACCAGTCAGAAGACATAAAGTCCAAACTGATTTTCTGTTGGCAAGGTAAAAGGACAAACAGCTCTGCTTTAAATCACAGTGCTGGTTTTGGTTAGAGCATAACATTTGGTTAGTAGCAATATTTTTATAGTTCCTGAATTCCTTCTATTCATAGAGGCCTTCTACTTAGAAATGACTTTTTTGGGAACGTGGCTACAAAGGGGTATGAGTCAGCACAAATTAGTGATACAAGGAGGTAATGAGTTTGGTGGGGAGCTCCTCACACTAGACATGTAAAAATCTTAGTTTAACTCTAGGCACTGCCAACAATTTCTATGAACCAGTATTTACTCATGTGTAACATGAAGACTTAGATCATAGTCTCAAAACCCTTGATACTCAAAGCAAGGTCCATGAAGCAGCAGCATTGCATAACCTGGACCACAGTCTTCAAAGTACTCTGGGTTTACAGTGCCTTTGGGTCTCAGTAGTCTTCTCATGGAACTCCTAGACCAAAATAACCCTTACTGGTACATTCACCAAGTAATTAGGTCTGAACAACTTAATAAACTCGTAATATCCTAACAAATTGGTAGCCATTTGGAAAATCAAAATTATGTATAAACTGAAAGATAGTATTTTTATTTCATTCTTAAATAACCTCTAATACTTAAGGAGCCCTGGTGGCGCTGCCAGTTAGGCACTGTGCTACTAACTGCAAGGTCTGTGTTTCGAGCCCACTACTGCTCCACAGGAGAAAAACGAGGTTGTCTTCTCCTGTAAAGATTTACAGTCTCAGAAACTCTATATAGGGTCACTAAGAGTCGGAATCAACTTGATGTCAGTGGGTTTGGTTTGGAGTTGGTATTACTTACTAATGGCAAGTATGTGCCTGTTGGACACTATACAACTACTCAAACTTTGAAACATGTTTGGATATCATCACCCTCATTTTCTATTCTTTTGTTTATTTCGGTGCAATACATTTTGTCACAGTGACATACAAAACCTTGACTTTACATAGCTGGGACTTCATTGAAAAGAATTAAGTGAAATCTTATTTTGACACTGTGTATTGTAAGTTGGCAATTTGAGTGACATCTGTGTTTCACTGTAAATTTTAGAACATCCTGTGGTGCACTGGGATCCTTGACAAAGTAGTGCAAAGTTTGGAATCTGTGGACCTGGGAGTATATTAGAAAAGCAGAATCTCAGGCCTCAACCCAGACTGAATCAGTGACAATCTTCATTTGCACAAACTCCCCAAGTGATTGATATGTGATTAAATTTTAAGATGATTTCTCAAAGTTAACTACTAGCACTAAAATTCTGATGCTTTGCTTAGGAATACAAAAGAGAGATTTCGATCACTTTTGATTGTCTTTAAGTGGCAATTTACAAATAATTATGGAATCCTTGGTTTGTCCTTGATTTGGGTTTAGAGGCGATATTAGACACATAATCAACATCCTGTTCTTTGATCATCCTCTATACTGATCAACTGAACAATCATGCTGGGTTTTGCAAAAAGAAAATCTAAATTATGAGGAAGTAGATGAAATGTTTACATTATTATGGATTGAATTATGTCCTCCATTGTGTCCTGTGATTATAACCCGTTTGGGGAATGAGTTGTCCTTGTTATATTAATAAAACAGAATTAGTGTAGGATGAGCTGAAAGGGACAGGCATTGACCATTTTGAATTCGACAATCATATGGTTTACTATGTTGGGAATGACAAATTGAACAGGAATGGTATTGCATTAATCTTCAAAAAGAGCATTTCTAGTTCTATTTGAAGTACAGTGCTGTCTGTGATAGGATGATATCCATACGCCTTCAAGGAAGATGAGTTAATACTGCTATTATTTAATTTTTACACCATCCACTAAAGTCAGTGATGATGAAATTGAAGAATTCTACCAACTTTTTTGGAGTCCTGGTGTGGCGCTGTGGGTTAATGTGCCAGACTGCAAAGCCGTTTGAACTGCAAGGTCGGCGGCTCAAGCTCACCAGCTGCTCCTTGGAAACCCTATACAGGGTCACTATGAGTCGGAATCGACTCTATGGCACTTGACAACAACAACAACAATTGAAACATATGTTCAAAAGGCATGGAAAATTACTGTGATTGGTATGCAAAAGTTGGAAAGAAACAGGAAGGATCAGTAATTGGAAAAGATGGCCTTTGTGATACAAACAATGCTGAAGATCACATGATAAGAATTTTGCAAGGCCTATGACTCTGTAGGATAAGCACTTGACTGCTAACCACAGGTCAGTAGTTCAAGTCCAACAGCTGCTCCACCTGAAACAGATGAGGCTTTCTACTCCTGCAAAGATTTACAGCCTCTGAAAATAAGTTAATTATTAGTTGGAACTAATTCTACAACACCTAACAACAATAATGACATTAATTACAAATACCTTCTTTTCAACAACGTAAAACATGTGAACTTCACCAAATGTAATCTACTGGAAACAAATTGACTACATATATAAGGAGAAACAATGGAGAAGCTTAATATCATTAGCCAAAACAAGGTTAGGGCTGACTGTGGAAGAGAGGATCAGTTGCTCGTATGCAAATTCAGGCTGAAGCTGAAGAAAATAAAACAAGTACATGAGAGCCAAACTATGATGTTGAGTATAACACACCTGAATTTAAAGACAATCTCAAGAACAGATTTGAAACTTCAGACACTTGTGACCAAAGACCAGAGGCGTTGTGGAATGACATCAAGAACAGTATACAGGAAGAAAGCAAAAGGTTATTTTAAAAAAGAAATAAATAAAAGACCAAAATGGATGTCAGAGGAGACTCTGAAATTGGCTCTTGAATGTAGAAAAGCTAGAGTGATTAGAAGAAATGATAAAGTCAAAGAGCTAAAGAAAAAAAAAATTCAAAGGCAGCATGAGAAGGCAAAGTCAAGTATTATAATGAAATGTACAAAAATCTGAAGTTAGAAAACCACAAGGGAAGAACATGCTCAGCATTTCTCAAACACCATATGATAAACAATCAGTGATATCAAAGGAGAAGTCCAAACTGCACTGAAGTCATCTGCAAAAAAGAAGGCTTTGGAACTGACAAAAAGCAAATTGAAATGTTTTAGCAAACTGATGCAGCACTGGTGGTACTTGTCACTCATCTATGCCAAGAAATTTGTAAGACAGCTACCTGGCCAACTAATTGGAAGAGGTACATATCTGTGCCCATTCAAAAAAAGGTGGCTCAACTGAATGTAGAAATCATTGAACAATATCATTAATATCACGTGCACGTAAAATTTCGAGGAAGATGATTCAAAAACAGTTGCAGCAGAGAGCTGCCAGAAATTCAAGCTGGAATCAGAAGAGGACATGGAAAGATGGATCTTGGCAGATGGATCTTGGCTGAGAGTAGAAAATACCAGAAAGATGTTTACTTGTCCTTTACTTACTATGCTGTGTGGAAAATGGTTATTCCAGAACACTTACTTATACTCATGAGGAACCTGTACATAGACCAAGAGGCAATTGCTAGAACACAAGGTGATACTGAATGGTGTAAAATCAGGAAAGGTGTACAACAAGGTTGTATCTTCTCACTATATTTATTCAATCTGTATGCTGAGCAGATAATCAGAGAATCTGGATTATATGAAGAAGAATGTACATCATGATTGGAGGAAGATTCATTAGCAACTTGTGATTTGCACATGACACATTCCTGCTTGCTGGAATCAAAGAGAACATGAAATACTGATAGAGATTAAAGAAACCAGCCTTCAGTATGGATTGCACCTCAATGAAAATAAATTCAAATTCTAACACCTGGACCAATAAACAGCATCATGACAACAGAGAAAAGATTGAAGTTGTGAAAGATTTCATTTTGCTTAAGTCATAATCAACGCTCATAGCATATTACATTAGACAAATCTGCTGCAAAACACCTCTTTTAGGTGTTGTGGTGCTGTGGACTAATGTGCTGGACTGCAAAGTCGGTTTGAACCACAAGATAGACGGTTCAGGCTCACCAGCCACTCCTCAGAAACCCCACGCAAGGTCACTATGGGTCAGAACTGACTCGATGACACTTAACAATAACAATAGGTGTTAAAGAACAAAGATGTCACTTCGAGGACAAAGGTGTGACTGACTCAAGCCATGGTATTTTCAATCACTTTGTATACATGTGAAAGTTGGATATGAATAAGGAAGACCATAGAAGAATTGATGCAATTGAATTACGGTGTTAGTGAAGAATATTGAAAGTAGCATGGACTCACAGAAGAACAAACACATCTGTGTTGGAAAAAGTACAGACGGAATGCTCTTTAGAAGGGAGGATGGTGAGCCTTTGTCTCTAGTCCTTTAGATGTGTTGTCAGGAGGGACCAGTTCCTGGAGAAGGACATCATGCTTGATAAAATAGAGTGTCATTGAAAAAAAGGAAGAACCCTAACAAGATAGATTGATACAGTGGCAGCAACAATTGGCTCAAGTATAACAACAATTGTGAGGATGGCAAAGGACTGGACAGTGTCGCACCATCCTTGCTTCTAAGGAACATCTGGCCGCATTTCTTACAAGACAGATTTGTTTGTTCTTCTGGCATTCCATGGTACTTTTTTTTTTTTTTTTAAGTTTTTAGTTTACATGAGAGAACATTAGCTTTACATCATGGTGCTTTTAATATTTTCTCCAAAACCATAAGTCAAATGCACTAGATTCTTTTAAGGTCTTCTTTATTCATTGTCCAACTTTCACATGCATATGAGGTGATTGAAAATGCCTTGGCATGGATCATAGCCAACAGATGAAAACAACCTAAGTGTCTATTAAAGGATGAATGGATATACAAAATGTGGTATGTGCATACAATTGAATACAACTTCACTGTGTAAAACAAATGAAATCCTGATCCATGCTTAATGTGGATGATCCTAGAAAACCTTATGATCAGTGAAATAAGTCAATCACAGAAAGACAGATATTGTATGATCTCACTTATATGAGATAACAAGAACAGGCAAATGTGTAGAGATCAAAGTTTACCAGTGTTTACCAGGAGTAGGAGATAAGGAAAAAGGGGGAGCTAATATTTGGGAAACAATGAGTATTTGTTTATAATGATACAAAGTTTGGCAACAGTTATTGGTGGTAGTTGAACAGCTTGATAAAGGTAGTTGATATCACTAACTTGTATACCTGAAAAATGTTGAATAGGTTAATGTTGGGTTGTACATATTTTTTAAGTACAAGGAGTGGAAAGATTAAGTTCCTTTTGTTCTCACTCACCATGGGGGTTCCAGAAGAGGAGTTTTGAAAGTACTGCGTCTTTCATGAAAGCTTTCTCGATAACACTTACATCGCTAAGACACCATTTTACTTCTGGCATTAAGAATAAATTTGATCCATTTAATTCAAAATATGGTTTGTGTCATTAGTGCTTCCTCAGAACCCTCATTCTGTGATAGATTTGGACTGTTGGCTTGTTTTTTTTTTTTTTAATTTTTTAAAATGATTTACTGATTTTTGTGTTATTTTACTTAGTGTTTTATTTTGTGGATTCCAATTTTACTGAGCTTTACATAGCTAGGATCATAGGCTCAGCTAGAGAAGTGCAGTTGTTGTGTGTATAGTATATTCTCCTGGGATACCCTTGTTAAAGTTGCAGACTGATAGGATGTTCTCTATGGGTGTCAGGGAGAAAAGATGTAACTCCTGCTAGCATTGAATAAGAGAAGAGCGTTTCTTTATTCTGAACAATACTTTTTAGACTTTGAAGTCAAGTGATTTTGAATCTACCAATAAAAAAAAAAGACTGGGGATTGAAAGTAATATTGGAAATGCCTCACTAACCCTGTACTCATTAGAAGGAGGAGTGAAAAAGCAGTAGATATTCACTAACCTCAAAAAGAAATGCTTCTCCTCTCAGTAAGTTTCCTGTCTTTTTTACTGAGGAGCTAGAGCTGTTGTCTTTTCTCAGTCTTGGATTTGATACCACATCAACCAAACAAGCAGTCATTTCTGCATTCCTCATTCTTCCTATACAGCCCTGCTCATTATAAAACTAAAGGGATTGTTATAGAATGAAGTGGGGTGGAGTCTGTGAAGAGCTCATTAGAGCAACACTGAACAGTGCTTGTTATCTCATTTGTTTCAGACCAGCCTTAACAGCATGATGAGTGTTTACAGTGAAACAGGAGACTATGGCAATGTGAAGGTCAGTGGTGAAATCCTTCTCCACATCAGCTACTGCTACAAAACTGGAGGGCTCTACATTTTTGTCAAGAATTGCAGAAATCTTGCCATAGGAGATGAAAAGAAGCAAAGGACAGATGCGTAAGCACATAGCACATCCCTCAGACTATTTCCATCACTGCATTCATTTTGATCTATGTATATGTTTCTTTTTCAAAAGAGTCCTTTCATTCAGATCTTTGTCAGCAGGTTGTTTGTCACTCTTTTCTTATGTCATGCTTCTCAATATTCACTGTAGTACAAAGTACTTACATAATTGTTGTGTCTAGAGTTACCCAAGTTTTAAAAGACTATAATTTAACTGGAATGAAGAGGACTTGGAATACTTATTGATGAAGATCAAAGAATACAACCTTCAATATGGATTGCATGTCAACGTAAGGTAAATGAAAAGCTTCACAACTAGATCAGTACAGACATCATGATAAACAGAGAAAAGATTGAAGTTGTCAAAGATTTCATTTTGCTCAGCTCCACAATCAACCCTTATGGAAGCAGCAGTCAAGATATCAAACGATATTATGTTAGGAAATCTGCTGCAGAAGACCTCTTTAAATTGCTAGAAAGCAAAGATAACAGTTTGAGGACTAAGGTTCTCATCCAAGCCAAGGTATTTTTAGTGACCCCATATGCATGTGAAAGTTGGACGATGAATAAGGAAGACTGGAAAAGAATCGATGCATTTGAATATGGTGTTGAAGAAGAATAATGAAAGTACCATGGACTGCCAGAAGAACAAACAAATCTGTGTTGGAAGAATACAGTCAGAATGATCCTTAGAAGCCAGGATGGCCAGACTTAATTTCTTGTACTTTGAACATGTACCTGAAGGTACCTTATCCTGGAGTAGTACGCTATGTTTGGTAAAGTGAAGTGTGAGCGAAAAAGAGGAAGGCCCCTCCAACAACATGGATTGACATAGTGGCAGCAGCAATAGATAACAATATTAAGGATGACTCAGGACCAGGCAGTATTTCATTCTCCTGTGTGGAGGATAGCTGTAAGTTAAAACCAATTTGATAGCACCTTAGAACAACAGCATAACTCAACTTGATTTAGGACTGGCATATTTGCAATTAATGTAGTGGTAGGTTTTTTGAGTTAGAAGGCTAGCATACTGGTACACACCAGGATATGCAAGAATATCCTGTTAACTTTTGTTCTGGGAAATTGGCCAGAGAAAAGTACCAAGCTGTTAGAACAGTTGAGTAACTCAAAAGGGTTCTCAGGATTCCAGGGATCAGACTGGCTGGGTATACATGAGCCATGGCACACTGAAGGGAAGGGAAGTATATAAATGTTTATTTATATAATTTTAAACATTTTCAATTTCAGTGATTCAACAGGAAGACTCACAGAACTCCACATATAGTTGAAGTCAGCAAAGGAAAAGGGTACTTGGGCAAATTCCAGAGGAAACCAAATACAAGCTTTCAAGGGTCCTCTCCCAATAGTTACACAGGATGTGCTTAATTCCTACAGTAATGAACTGTGACAACACAAGTAAAATTGTTTATCAGGGATGCTCAGTAAAGACTCAACGCCAGGACTTCTGGTAAGATGGGGGACAAGGCAGACACACTACAAAGACCCTTGACATCAAAAATATAAGCAATCATATGAAACACATATAGATGATAATTCTGGAGCCCCAAGCTTCAGGGGGGAAAAAAAATGGTAGGGAAGTGGATTGAATACTGACTAGGAGAAGATTCTGAACAGGGGCTGCGAGAGCAGAGACAGATAGGTGAACTGTTGGCTGACCTGACTCAGTACAACCATCTTGAAAATTTGCAAAAATTCAATCTAACCAAGTGTCTGATGGTAAAGATATACACTGGAGTAGACAGCAACAAGAAAGGTGCAATTCTCTGTTGGTTCTCACACTCTCCTGGTGACCCGAGGTATGGCCAACCCCCACTCTCACCTGTTCCCTGCAGAACCTCTGCTCTGTCAGAGGTCGAAGCTATATCATTGTGAGTCAGGCACTGGATGCACACACAACCCATCTGAAGGCAGGTGAACTCCACTTCTTCAGACCAGCAGAACATGCAGTGCTAGTCCCTGGCCAACCCTGGACAAGTAGGAATTCTGGTAACCTTCTAGAAACAAAGACCCTGACCTCAGCTACCTCCAAGGCCAGCACAAAATACTTTCAGATTAGGTGGCTTGACCATAGACAACATCTATTCCTATAATAACTCTAGCTAGGGCTGGGCAAGCCACCCTCTCAACACTCCCCCTCCCAACTCATGAGTTTCTTGGCTGCTCCCCACAATTTTCTACTCTCTGGGTCTGGTCCCCTGCTCTAGTTCTTTCCCCTCTTCTTCTCATCCTTCCATTGCCTTTTATCCTTTATTTCTGTTTTCCTGTCTTCTTTTTTTTTTCTTTTGCTTCTATTTTCTTTTCCCCCTCCTCTTCTTCATTGTTTTTTCTCTGATTTTTCTTTACTATGATCTTTTCTTTTCCCTTTCCCTCCCCCTTCCTAACTTTGATTATTATATTTTTTCTTTCTTTTTATTTTCTCTTGCTTTATTTTATTTTACATCCCCTATTTCTCTTTTTAGTTGTTCTTTTTTCTTGCTGCTGCCTATTGTTTTTGTCTCCTTTTCTCTCCCCTCCCCCTTTTTTGCTCTTTGCTTGTTTTTTTGTTTTTTGTTTTTTTCTCTTGTGTGTATGTTTGCTTTTGCCTGACCTGATAGGAGACAGAAACCATGCTCATGAAGTGCAGTCATAACCATATCCCCTGCACCCCCACCCACTGGTCAAGAGCCACTACCAGTTCCTGTGTCATCAAATCAATAATAGACAGAAGCCAATGCAAGTCAAACTCACCCTGAACTGCACTACAGGAGCAGAGAATAAAGAACTGTATACACACTCCACAAAGAACCAATACCTACAACCATACCAACATATAGTCAACACTACAATGTCTCAGAGACAACAGTTTGTGTTCACATGAAGAAATAAGATAGTGTGGCTCACACAAGTGACTAGAATACAGAAACAGAAAAATGTTTCTAGGGAAATAAAGGTATTGGCACTATCTGTTAAAGAATTCAAAAGAATGATATTTGGATACTTCCAATGGACTGAGAGAAAAATTGAGAATGCTGCAGAGGAAAGCATGAAGAAAACACATATATACACACACATTTAAAAAAAAATGGAAACACTACAAGAACAAAAGCACAAAATAAATGAAAAATTAGAAACAATACAAAAACTACAACTAGAAATCCAGATGATTAATACTAAGAGTTTAGAAATAGATAAAACATTGAAAGGACATAGGAATAGATTTGAAGCAATGTGATACTGAGTTTGTGTGCTTGAAGACAAATCTTTCATGCAAGTCAGTTAGAAAATCAATAAGAAAAAAGAACTCCTGGGGCAAAATGCTGAAGTAGACAGATACACTGAGTTAACTCTCTACAACAAAACCTTGGGAGGCCGAGTGAAACATAAATGGAGATCCTGAAGCTGTGAGCTTCAGATGATAGGACAAAGAGGTGAATTGAGTGCCAACTGGAAGAGGAAGTTTAACAGGAACAGTGAGAGAGAAGAAAAATGGGTGGACTCGAGTGGCATTGTCATCTGGAGTTTTTGTGAGTGGCTGTCAATACAGTTGTCTGCAAACAAGAAGATATAGCTGGAGGTTGGCAATAGGGGATGCAGTTCTCCCTTTTTCCCGTGCCCTCCTGGTAGCCCAGGGTGAAGCCTGTCTCTGCCCTCACAACCCAGTGGCCAGTGGTATTCCCTTCCTGTGCAGCCTCTGCTCTGCCTGGGGTTGAGCACTAGGTATAGCTCCCCTGTTTCTGGAGGCATGTGAATCTACCCTGAATACAAACACAAACAGTGAACAAAAAAAAAAAATACTTTCACACTTCCATTCTATATCACAGCCACCAAGAGATAGGTGGTGAGTGCCTGAGAACAAACCTATATAAAACATTAATTAGATATAATTAAGACATCACAATGTCTCAGAGAAAACTGACAATTTCAGCTTACACAAATAAATAAGACAGAGTGTCTCAAACAAATGACCAACCAACCTGTCTGGAAAGCAATATGGCGCTTCCTCAGAAGGTAGGCAATAGAAATACCTTATGATCCAGCAATTCCTCTACTTGGTATTTACCCACAAGAAATAGGAGCCATAACACGAGTAGATATATATGCACACCAATGTCCATAGCAACACTATTTACAATAGCAAAAAGATAGAGACAGCCTAAGTGCCCATCAACTGAAGATTGGATAAACAAACTGTGGTACATACACACAATGGAATATTATGCTACCTTGAAGAGTAACGAGCAAGCTGCAAGCCACCGCATAACATGGATGAACCTTGAGGACATTATGTTGAGTGAAATTATTTTTGTTGATGTCAAGTGCCATCGAGTCGATTCCAACCCATAACGACCCTGTATAGGGTTTCCAAGGAGCAGCTGGTAAGCTTGAACCACCAACCTTGCAGTTCAAACGGCTTTGAAGTCTGGTGCATTAATCACAGCTCCACACCAGGACACCTGAGTGAAATTAGTCAGTCACACAAGGAGAAATACTGCATAGGACCACTACTATAAAAGACTAAGAAAAAGAACCCATACTAAAAGGGGGGAGTGATTCTTTGCTGGTTACTGGGATGTGGGGTAGGGTGAAGGGAGGGATAGGATGGTGGAGCACAGGGCAGGGAACAGACACAGGATAGTTTGGGTGCTGGGGAGGGGGGAGATACACAAGAACGGGGAGGGGAATGGAAGAACAAAGTGGACAGGAAAACAATTAGGCAGGTTTGCATGGGCTAAGTGGGACAGAGGTAAATAATGATGTATGCACAACCATGGAACAACAGGGCTCCGGGATACAGGGATTGAGACATGGTTGGAATAGGGAAAAGGGGGGAAATCATGTTAAGATGCTTGGTTGTCTTTTGAATCTGGGTTTCCCTGGCATACCATTATAAAATAAAACACTTAAGGGGGAGAGAAAGAAATAGCCAGAAATATCACCATAGAAAGCTTGTAAGTCCATCATCTGCCTATAACTGATTGTTATTGTTGTTAAGT